ATTGGTTTTAAATTCAGATTTATCTCTCTGTATTCAAAGGTTTACCCTAAAGCTAATGTACTATATTAACAAAAAGGCATTTTATTTATAAAACTAACATTACTAACATAAAGACATTTTTGAAGAAAGATGACATCTAATTCAAGCATGATCATGTTTAACTTTAAAAACACAATACGAAGGCAAAACTAAATGCACCTTTTAACTTGCAATTGAGGCTTTATTTCCCAATTCTTTTACCAATAAAATTCTAAGGGATTCTCCGGCCCTGATTAAGCCAGTATCTCCCGAATTTAGCCCACCAATCAGAAGGGAGAAGATTTTATGGTGTCCAAGGACAGGGTTAATTGACACTGAATGAGGGGAGGAAGTCATTCTCCCTTCCTTCTTTTTCAGCTCCTCTGACTACTTCAGGATGTCTCAGATACCTGTTTTTTATTTATGGGGGTTACTTCAAGTTTCCTTTAAAAATTATGTTAATAATTCCTCTGATAAATATGAAGTAAGTATATAGAAAGTATTCATTGGAAGGAATGATGCTGAAGCTCCAATACTCTGGCCTCTTGATGCAAACAACTGACTCATTGGAAAAGACCCTGATGCTGGGAAAGACTGAAGGCAAAAGGAGAAGGGGGTGGCCGAGGATGAATGAGATGGTTAGTAGCCATCACTGACTCAACAGACATGAATTTCAGCAAACTCCAGGAGACAGTGGAGGACAAAGAAGCCTGCCATGCTGCTGTCCATGGGGTCACAGAGTTAGACAGACTTAAGGACTGAACAACACAACAAATACAGGATGTATGCAGATAAGGGTCAAAAGTTTGAAGATGATATAAGAATGATTTAATCAAGTTTGAGAAATACTACACTTATCCATTTGGTCAACAAATGTAAGTGCTTACCATGAGCATGACATTGGTGTTGCTATCATGAAAGATAGAAAAAAATGTTCAAAGAAATGCAAATCTGAAAGTCAGAAAGAAGGCAAAAAAAGATTCACAAAGTGGCGCTTCAGCTAGAACTTAATAGTTATGATTTACACATGCAGAAACAGGGAGGAATTCAAAGAGAACAAAGACATAACAATACAGGCCTGAGTGGTGGGTGACATGTTCCAAATCTTGCTTGTGGTGGTGGTTACATGAGTGTGTAGGTAATGTACACATAAAATCAGTGCACATTATTCCATGTAAATTTTTCCTTGGTAAGTGTGATACCCTATCTTTGACCTATGCAATGAATAGTCATTGAGGCTTCAGGCTTGGATATCTTGGGGAAGGGGAGGTAAACACAATAAAAGAAGGGAAATCCCAATTCAGAGAAGGGGATCAAAAGTCCTTACTTGCATATAATACATTTTCAATAAAAGCTGTACACTATTACACAAAAATAGCAGTCCATATGTCAACAGTACATGAACCAAGAACTTGAAGCTATAAAGGCTGTTTTTAGAAAAGGCAGAGGAACCAGAGATCAAATTGCCAAAATCCATCTGCTGGATCATAGAAAAAGCAAGAGAATTCCACAAAAACATCTGCTTCATTGACTACTAAAGCTTTGACCGTGAGGATCACAACAAACTGTGGAAAATTCTTAAAGAGATGGGAATACCAGACCACCTTACCAACCTTCTGAGAAATCTGTATGCAGGTCAAGAAGCAACAGTCAGAACCAGATATGGAACAAAACTGGTTCCAAATTGGGAAATGAGTACATCAAGGCTGTATTTTGTCACCCTGTTTGTTTAATTTACATGCAAAGTACATCGTGTGAAATGCTGGGCTGGATGAATCACAAGCTGGATCAAGATTTCAGAGAGAAATTATCAATAACCTCAGATAAGCAGATGACACCACCCTAATGGCAGAAAGCAAAGAGGAACTAAAAATAAAAAGCCTCTTGACAAAGGTAAAAGAGGAAAAGTGCAAAAGCTGGCTTAAAACTCAACATTCAAAAAACTAAGATCATGGCATCTGGTCCCATCACTTCATGGCAAACAGATGGGGAAAAAGTGGAAACAGTGACAGACTTTATTTTCTTGGGCTCTAAAATCACTGTGGACAGTGACTGCAGCCATGAAATTAAAAGATGCTTGTTCAAAAAAAAAAAAAGATGTTTGTTTCTTGAAAGAATATCTATGACAAATCTAGATAATGCATTAAAAAGCAGAGACGTCACTTTGCCAACAAAGGTCCATCTAGTCAAAGCTATGGTTTTTCCATTAGTCATGTATTCATGTGAGAGTTTGACCATAGAAGGCTGAATGCTGAAGAACTGATGCTTTCAAACTATGGTGCTAGAGAAGACTCTTGAGTCCCTTGGGCTGCAAGGAGATCAAACCAGTCAATCGTAAAGGAAATCAGTCCTGAATATTCATTGGAAGGACTGATACTGAAGCTCCAATACTTTGGCCACCTGATGCGAAGAGCTGATTCACTGGAAAAGATCCTGATGCTGGGAAAGACTGAAGGCAGGAAAAGAAGGGAGCAACAGAGGATGAGATGGTTGGATGGCATCACTGACTCAATGGACATGAGTTTGAGCAAATTCTGGGACATAGTGAAGGACAGGGAAGCCTGTTGTGCTACAGTGCAGTCCATGGGGTCACAGAGTCAGACTTGACTGAACTAGTGAACTACTACTACTTCTACTTAAGAGTTTCCTCTCAGAAAGAGAATTTACAAAACTTACGGCCTGCCTATTAAAAATAAATGTACTGTTCCTCATCCCTTCAAACAAAAGAGAACATTAACACATTAACAGTACTCAACCCTAACAAAGAACAGACAGAAGCAGCCATGCTGGTTGTGTGCTAGTGACACCCGAAAGAATTTAGCAAAATACTTGCAGATTGTATTCAACACTTACATCTTCTTCCCAAGCCATTTAGAAATAACTGCCTTAGAATTTACATTGTAACCTTTAACTTTTTCCAGTGATCTAGCTCTTAAAATTATTTAGTTATTAAGTACCTTTCAAGTGGTTTTTGTCACAGTTCATAGTTTTTAACAATACATGACTAGAAAGGGGAATCATCATAAACTCAATGCCATTATCAAGTCTTTACTTGTCAAAACTTTATAATGCCACTCTTAATAAGATCAATAACTTAACCATAAAATCAAATTCCAAAATGAGGTAATTATAGTTATAGAGAAGCATCAAGAGACCAGAAAAAAGAAGACGCCCTTCTGTCATAAATTAATGCATTAAAGCTCACAGTAACCTATGTGTATCCTTGTTATAGTACTAAGGCAAATATAAGTCCTTTGGTCTAGTGAGTTGGGATTTGATCTTCATGCTCTAGCAAGCTTAAGCTGAAGGCCATAAAAGCATATAATGTAGGAAATTTTAGAGATGAAAGGGGACTCCGTTCAACTACAGTAATTTTCAAATGGGTATTCTATGTAATTATACTCCAGGAGATGTTAACATGTTGGCCATGACAACATTTGCTCTCTGGCCACATAAATTTGAGAAATGCTTCAATAACCTTTCCCTGGAAGCTTCCATTCTGGAAGTTTATGTGTGTATTAGTACAGTAGGGCTAGAAGTCTTGTAGTTCTGAGAAGTCTTGTGGTTAAAAGCAAATGAAGAGTTAAGCCTGATTTAAACCAATGTTCTTCCATATTGAGCTTGCCTGATGGCTCATAAGGTAAAGAATCTGCCTGCAATGCAGAAGAACCAGGTTTGATCCCTGAGTCAGGAAGATCCTCTGGAGGAGGGCATGGCAACATACTCCAGTATTCTTGCCTGGAGAATCCCCAAGGACAGAGGAGCCTGGTGGGCTACAGTCCAAGGTGTTGCAAAGATTCAGACACGACTGAGCAGCTAAGCACAGCACATGCATGCTCCCATATTATTTGCTACAGAACTCTGTTTGGAGGCAGTAATAGTATTAATGGATTCATAAGAGTGTTCAGGGAAAACAGTTTGGAAAACTCTGATTCTATGAAATTCTCTTAGGTGATGAAACTGAGGCCTAGAGAGATAATACCCGGTCAGCAGAACAAAGGTCTTGAATAAAATCTCTCCTTCCCAGGCCATAGAGTTCTTTACTGTAGTTTAACTACTCAATATGACTTCTTTGACTGAATATAGTCAAACATTTAATTAACAATATTTATTTTACATTTACGTTTTGGTTACAGTATTACATTTCCAGGTTTGTGTATTAAGTTAGGTATTTTACTTCTTACAGTCTAGTCTCTGGCTCCTAATAATCAGGGTCACCCTGAAATCAGCAACTGTTTACTAATTCCGGGGAATGATCTAGTTCTGAGCAGCTGAAAGCAATCATTTTAAAAGAAAGCATTTGTACTACAACTGGTTTTAATTTACTCTAGTTGTAACTTCTGTCAGCTCAAGGAAATCACCGTTATTTATCAGGTGAAGACTTAGCACATAAAACTGACGTGTAATCCACAGTAAAACACAAGACATAATGTCTACATCAAGACAGCCAACAACATCAAAACTGAGAGATCTTTGTCTTTCTACAGTTCAGGGCTTCCTTGTCAGGCAAAAACTTGAGTTCCTATCCTTTTTGTATTTATTTAAAAAAATGTTTTGCCTGCTTTACATTCTCCAAATCAGATTTTTTCCCATCTTTCTTTCTTAAACCCTACAGAACTCTATGGAAGTGTAGGAATAACCAAAACACAATGTACTTGGCTTTAAAAGAGTAGTTGTGAGGTACTCCCCTTCCCTCCCCTGGGTAGGTGAGAACGAGAACTAACAAGTGACTATTGTAATGGTGCAACTTTAAAAGGCTTGGGAATCAAAGGTGATGCCTGTTAACAACTTCCTTATGACTAATGTGACTTCCTCTAATAAACTTCTACACTCCTTTCCAGCCCCCACCCCCCACATGGACTATTAACCAGGGCGGGCATTCTCGTTTCTTCAATCATGAACCCCTCTAGATGCAAGAGACAGTATGATGATGCCTCGATTCCAACAAAGAAGTGAGTCCGCGCGATCTGCTCACACAGGTGCTACCGCCGCCTCAACTCCGCGTACCGCGCGCCCCCTGCGCAGGAGGCTCGGCCCGGCCACCCGACGCCCGGGTCCCCGCCTCCGGCCCCCGGGGCCCCGGGCCGCCCTCGCGCCGCCGCCGGGCCCCGGCCCGCCAGTCCCGCCTTCACGGAAACCACGGGGCGGGCGGCCGGCGGGTTTCGCGGCTTCCAGGCGGGGCTCGGGCGGCAATACCCGCGACGCTCCCGCAGCCGGACCCACCGGCCGTCCCAGCGGCTCAGGGACGAGGCCGGCTGAGGAGGCCGCGCCGGGCCGGAGGCCGCGGCCTCACAGCCGCGCTGGGGGGACGGGGCGGGGACGCTGTTACCTGGGGGCTCGGCCGCTCCTGCCGGCGCCGCTCTCCTGGCAACCGCGGCAGCGACACGCAGGTCGGGAGCCGGACGGCCTAGTGACAGCTCCCAGTGTGCACCGCGCCCGCGCCCGCGCCCACGCCGGCGTCGACGTCCGCGGCCCTCCATCCCCGCCCCCGGTCCGTTCCGCGCCTCCCGGCGCTCGCGGTCGCCGCAGCGCCCTCAAGCGGACTGTCGCGGAAGCGGCCCATCGCCACCAATGAACGGAGTAGACCTGTAGCCGGTGTTTTGAATTCGCCGGTGCCAGCCTCATCAGGATGGGGGGAGAGATGGAAGGGATGCTAGGAGTTGAAAATAGCTTTAAAATATTCTTCAAGTAATGACTTAAGTATTTATTTAAATTGTTTAACTGATTCCTCCATATTTCATGTGAAGAACCCCACACCTAGAGAGGTTAAAAGACTTGGGAAGTTAGAAAACAAATAGTTATCACATTAGGAGCTATTCTGATTCTAGAACTCGAGAATCACGTAGTTACAAGGAGAAATGCACCCTGGTGCCTAAATTGTAGCGTCAAAAATGGTTTCTTTTGCAAATGTGTGACTATATATCAAATATAACAATTCTTAAAAATAATCAAACATCAATTGTTAAGAGAATGCTGCATTGAGAATGTAACATAGGGAATTCCCAGGTGGTACACTGCCTAGGATTCTGCACTTTCACTGCCGTGATCCAAGTTCAATCCCTGGTCTGGGAACTAAGATACTGCAAGAGGCCCGGTGCACAAGAAAAAAAGAAGAAAGAAAAGAAAAGAAAAAGAAAGAATGTTACATATTTCAATATAATATGTTAGTACTTAAGCACTTAATAGCCTTGAAAATTAAACATGGATGATAGGAGGAGCCAAAATAGTGGAGTGAAATAATAAATCAGTATATCATATACATTAGGAAGAGAAAAGAGTTTTGTTTAAGTGAAATTGATGACCATAGCCTGGGAGAGACAGATTGAAGAAGCACTTAAATTGTGTTCCACTGGACTGCAAAATGGGGGTGGATTATAAAGGCAGAAGGCCCCAAAGTCATAAGATATTTGTCAAGAATTAGGATTGGAGCTGGCAAGAAGGGTGCTTGTTATGTAAGGGTTGACTGAGGTCTGAAATGGTTGCATAGTTACAAGAGGAGAACTTGAGACTATAGGTTTGCAACTGGCAGCTGCTAGCAGCAAGGCTCATGGTGTCTTTGGATGGGATACAGTTCAGAAAATTTCTCAGTAATACAAGCATGTGTCTGAAGCCATGTCCATGGTGGTCACCTGGCTCCATTTGGAATGTCTGAATACAGATACTCAAATTTTTAATGCATTTTTTTCTTTAATGGTTAAAGTAGATGTATGATGCCTTTTTTTTTTTTTTTTTTTGGCTGTACCAGGCAGCACTTGGGATCTTAGTTTCCTGACCAGGGATTGAACCTGTGCTCACTGCAGTGGAAGCATGACTGGGCCGTCAGGGATATCTCCAGTGCATATTTAATAGGCCACAAATAAGCTGTTTTGGTGAGCCTAAAGTTCCAATTAAATCATGTATAAGCCACCTTGTTTCTTAATATGTGACATTTTCTTCCATCAAAACCATCATCTTTTGTCACCATTGAGATGAAATAGCAGTAATCTTCTTTTAACTGTGCTGTTACCTTCAGCCATGATTTTGAATTATTCTGATGGATACAGGAATTTGTGAGGCAAAACAATAAACTTTATTAACTCCAAATATGGATTTTAGGGGAAAAAAAGTCTTAAAATAGTATCTTTAGGGATATGATGGAGAAGGCAATGGCAACCCACTCCAGTGTTCTTGCCTGGAGAATCCCAGGGATGGGGGAGCCCGGTGGGCTGCCATCTATGGGCTTCCCTGGTAGCTCAGCTGGTAAAGAATCCGCCTGCAATGCAGGAGACCCTAGTTCAATTCCTGGGTCGGGAAGATCTCCTGGAGAAGGGATAGGCTACCTTACCCCAGTATTCTTGGGTTTCCCTGGTGGCTCAGGTGGTAAAGAATCTGCTCGCAATGCAGGAGACCAGGGTTCGATGCCTGGGTTGGGAAGATCCCCTGGAGGAGGTCATGGCAACCTAGTCCAGTATTCTTGCCTGGAGAATCCCAATGGACAGAGGTGTCTGGTGGGCTACAGTCGATGGGGTCCCAAAGAGTCAGACGCGACTAAGCACAGCACATATTATGTTAATGTGTGTGTGTGTGTGTGTGTGTGTGTATGGGGCTTCCCGGGTGCTGCTGCTGCTAAGTCGCTTCAGTCGTGTCCAACTCTGTGAGACCCCATAGACAGCAGCCCACCAGGCTCCCCCATCCCTGGGATTCTCTAGGCAAGAGAACACTGGAGTGGGTTGCCATTTCCTTCTCCTCCCGGGTGGCTTAGTGGTCAAGAATCCTCCTGCAATACAGAAGACGCAGGAGGCGCCATGCGTTCGATCCCTAGTTCAGGAAGACCCCCTAGAGGAGAGCGTGGCAACCCACTCCAGTATTCTTGTCTTGGAGAATCCCATGGACAGAGGAGCCTGGCAGGCTACACTCCATAGGGTCACACAGAGCCGGACATGACTCAAGCCACTGAGCACACACACATGCATATCTATTTTGTGGGGTCGCAAAGAGTCGGACATGACTGAACCAATAACACACACACACATATATATGCTATCTTATTTCTGATGGTATACAATACACATGTAAAACAGATAGCTAGTGGGAAGAGGCTGTATGGCACCGGGAACTCGGCTCAGTTCTCTGTTATGACTGAGAGGGGTAGGACTGGGGGAAGACTCAAGAGGGAGGGGGGATATATATATATATATATATATATATATATGTACATAATATACATATATATATAGATATGTATGATATGTATGTATACATATATAGCCATGCACATATGTATATGTACATATATGTACATACACATACATACACATACATATATAGCCACACATATATGTATATGTACATATACGTATATAAATATACATACACATATATAGCTGATTCAGGTTGTTCACCAGAAACTAACACAACGTTATAAAGTAATTATACTCCAATCAAGAAAATAAAACAGCAGAAACAAAAAACACAGGCTATTTGTCGCTATGCATCACAATAATTATGGGAATAATAATCCTGTGCCTCCTGATACCGAACTTAACCACACTCTCTTAGGCATAGACAACAAAGAACTTTGCACATTTTTGCAACCCTTTTCATTCTGGAGCCATCTGGTCTAAACTGGAAAGCTGCAGCTAAGTCAGTGCTGGAGACATTTGTTGCCTCAAGACAGAGGAGAACTATCAAACACAGACCAGGATTTATGAAAACAGAACCAAAAACCAAAGAGACTTTAGTTCATTAAAATAAAAGCAAAGCCAAGATAAAGTGTGCTTGGGGTGGGGAACTGGGCTCTAGACCCCGCTGGGGATAAATGCTTGCCTATACAGACCCCTCTCGTCCAGTCTCATCTCTCCCCAAGCTAACCAAAGCAGTGTTCTGGGGTCCGGCTTTGAGGGTCATTTCCAGGGAGCCTGGTGCATCAAGTCGCGCCCTTAAGAAGCGGAGTGGGAGAACGGTTTGGCTTCCCCGTGCCCATCTTTCTCTGAACTCTGACCCAAATGGCCGGCTTGGAAAGCGCTCGCGCTCCCTGATGGAATCCTCGCGGCGGCGCGCTCTCCGCCCGGCAGGTGGCGCTGTGGGCTGGCGGGCACCCGAGCTCCGGGTCCTGGAGGCCCGCCCCGCCGCCACCGCCGCCGCGGTTCCTGCTCGAGCCGCACGTGCAGCCGCTTTCCGGCCCCGGTGGCCGGGTCTCCAGAGCTCCCGGCTGAGCGTCCGAATGGCGGCGGTTGCGGCGGAGGCGCGCGTGTTCCTGGAGGTGCGGAGACGGCTGCAGAGCGCGCTGCTGATCCTGGGGTAAGGCGGGCGATGGAGTCTGGGCTCCCAGGCGCAGCCGAGCCCGCTTTGCCGCCTCCCCGGCCGGCTCCGCCTCCCTCGGAAAGATAGGGTTTTGAATTTCTTTTTTTCCACTTGCTTAGAGCGAGCCTCTGGGTTCCTCAAAGTGGAGTAGCCTCTCCACACCGCGCGCCCCCGGTTCCCCACCCCCCGTCACCTTCTTCCCGGCTGGCGATCTCGGCATCACCCGGGGGGCTTTCTAGAAATGCATGGTTTCAGCCCCACAGCAGACCTACTGAACGGAAACTTCACGATTCCCAGATTCAGATGCACATTAAAGTTTGAGGATCCCTAATGTGCAACACTTTTGACAGTGCCCCGTGCTTCCAACAAAACAATGCAAAAAATGCGTTGCCCCTTGGGGATCCTCGTTATCTGTTCTAATATGAGAATTTCCTGTTTTGTAAATATACTCCTCTTGTTGTTGTTTTGGTTTCTGCACAAGCCGTTCTCTATGCAGAGGAACGCACGCACCCGTTCAATAAATGTGTGTTCAGTGAACAGCTAGAAAAGATTGCAGGCTTCTTATTGGAGCTCTTTCTTTCATATTCTTAATTCCAAGGAGAAATTGCGAAGGTTTAACTTGCTGTTCATTACACAGGCAAAAAACTTTCAGGAAAAGTGTTTCTTTTTTGTTTGGTGGTGTATGGTACCTCGACTCTTCCCTTGTGACCACTGTTTCAAGTAGAGTGAGTTAGATGCTAAAATCCTGAAAAGTTTATTGCACAGAATCACTCTGAAAGTAGACTTCACTCTGATGTTTAGCCTTCTCTTTTCCTAAAACCAGCCAGGTACCTGGTGTAGTGGTTTTGGGTTTGGCAGAACTGGATTCAATCCTAACTTCTTCACCAGAGTGGAATCCTTTAATTTGATTTTTTTCTATCGTAAAATAGGGATTCTTTTTTTCTCTCTTTCTGCTGTGTGTCTTCCCTCTCCCTTTCTCAAATCACGAATTCAAATAAGTGCTTCATGTCCAATTCAAATTCACCTTGTGAAGTTATTCTGAGCCCAAAACCTTAGGCAAAAGGAAACAAGACAACATCCTTACTTCCCCTCATCAAAGGGGCCTTTCATGGTTCCCCTGGATAACTCTCCCTTCTTTAAGCTAGTTAAGAAACCTAATTTTGCTGGACTCCTGCTTTCTCCCTGGTGGTCTTTAGCTGTTGAGCTTTATCACCAGTCAGTTGCCCCAACCCAAAAAGTAACCATTATTCTAATTTCATTCAGGAAAGATCATTTTGCCATTTCTTGACTTATACATAAATGGATTCATACAGTGTGTACTTGTTTGTTTCTGGTTTCTTTTTTTTTTACTGTGTTTCTGAGATTCATGTTTCATCTATTAATATGTTATCACATGTATCAACAGTCCATTTTTTTCCTGCCAGATAGTTTTTCACTGTATGAATATATGACAATTCATTATCCATTCTTCTATTGCTGGATATTTTGTGTGTTTCTAAAGCCAGCTTACTATGAATAAAACTTGTACATTGTTGTAAAAGTATTTGTGCTGGGTCATAGGGTACGTGTTCAGCTGTGTCTGACTCTTTGTGGCCCCATTGATTGTAGCCCACCAGGCCCTTCTGCCCATGGAGCTTTTCAGGCAGGAATACTGGAGCGGGTTGCCATTTCCTACTCCAGGGATCAAATCCACATCTCTTGTGTCTCCTGCATTGGCAGGCAGATTGTTTATAACTAGCACCATCTAGATGGCTTTACTTAATGGGAAACTATTCTCCAAAGCTGTTTATACCAGTTTATACTCTAACCAGAAAAAAAATGAATTCCAACAAATTTACTTTCTTGTCTGCATTTAGTGTTGTCAGTTTTGGATTTTAGCTATTCTAGTGGATTAGAGTAGTATTTCATTGTCATTTTAATTTGTATTTCCTTGATTAATAATATTGGGCACCTTTTCATTTGTTTTTTGGTCATTCATATATGTTCTTTTGTCAAGTGTCTTCTAATGTCAGGTTGTCTTATTGTTGAATTTAAAGGGTTCTTTGTATAGTCTGGAAACAAGATCTTTTTCATTTGTGCCTGTGAGTATGAGAATATTCCCTCCCTGTCTGTAATGTATCTTTTAATTTTCTTAATAGTGTCTTTTGATGAACAGAAAGTCCTAATTATAATGAAGTCCAGTTTATTGCATCTTTTTTCTTTAATGGTTAGTGTTTTTTGTGTCCTAAGAAATCTTTGCCTACCTCCAAGTCGTAAGACTTTTTCCTGTGTCTATTTCCTAGGAATTACATTATTTTACCTTTTACATTTAGGTCTGTGATCACGTCAAATTAATTTTTGCATTTGGTATCAGGTTGGTGTCAAAGTTTCTTTTTTTTTAAGGCTATCTCCGGTTGTTCCATCACCATTAATTAAATGGCTGTCATTTTTTTCATTAAAATAACTCAGTATCTTTGTCAGAAATCAGCCAACTACACTGTTTTCATGTTATGTCTTTTTTATCCTTTTACTCTCAGCCTGTGTCTTTATATGTAAAATTTTAAAAACTAGTACTAAGTGGAGTTTAAAAAAATTCCACTATGACAATCTCTTTATTTTAATTGGAATTTTTTATCTATTTACAGTTAGTGTAAATGATATGATTTTTATTCTTTTCATAATCCTAAAAAAAGTGTTTCTAGCATCTCATCATCAGGCGTGATAATTTTGACTTTTTGGAAGTCTGTTTGGTCCATTGCATAGCTCCTTTCCGTTCCTACTTCACTCAAGGTTTTCATCATGAATATTGTGTTTTCTATAATGATTTCTACACGTATTGTGATGGTCATATTTTTTCCCCTTTATTCTTTACCTCTGTGAATTGCATTAGAAAAATCTATTTATGTTAATCCATCTTAGCATTCCTGGGATAAGCCTTGGCCATTCATTCATTAAATCCACAGATGTTTACAGAGTTCCTATTCTAGGGCCCAACCTAAGATTCAAGGTGTGAGGTATACAGCTAGATGAAAATACAGCAAAGATGAAAGTATTTGCTCTCAATGAGCTTACAGTCTAATGGTGGCAAGAGGTGGGCCAAAAACACACAAATAAACACACAAGGCTTTAGAAAAAGTAAAACAGAAAAAGGGATAGGGAAAAAAAATTCCAACCCTTTATTCCAAATGAAAAACTAACGTTGGAGCAATAAACTGAAAGGGGTGATGTTTGGAACTGTATGATACCCAGTGAGAGACTGTCATCCTCTGAGAGAACAGAAATAGGAAGAAGTGCTTGGTTCAGAGAGATGTGGGTGGGCTGGTGGAGCACACAGTAAAGGCTCTCTCCAGGAAATGGAAATGACCACCAGGAAATGACCTGCTCTCCAGGAAAACCAACCAGCCAAACAAAAATCCTTCCTGATCTGCAGCGTTTATTGATTCCTGAGGTGTAAATACTTTCACCGTAGATGATGTCAAACTACCAAAGTAAGGTCAGTTGGTTTGCGTAATACCTGGAATTTTAACAACTGGGTCTAGTATATCACTGGGTCTTAGAGACTCTTGAAAGGACCCTAGCTTGGACTCAGTGAGATGTGAAGTCATTAGATAGTTTCAAGCAGTTTCTGGAAAAACAAGAGAATAGTGACAAAAGCCTCACATGTAAAAAGTGTGGGCAATTAGGGTCTCAAAAACTTTGTTTTGAAACAGTCATGAACTTGAGGGTAAGTTGCTGTCACTCTTGAATATTTTTTTACTCTGAATTTTCCTACAAATGAGAACATTCTCCTACACAACCAGGATGCAACTCTCAAAACTGGGAAATGTGTTACTGCCGTCTTATACTCTGACCTTATTCAGGTGTTTCCAGTTGTTTACGTAATATCCTTAATAGCGAAGGAATCCAGTTCAGAGTGATGCACTGCATCCTCATGTTTTCTTCATCTTTTTCTGTCTAGAAGAGGTCCTTGGTTTTCCTTGACTCTAATGCTACTGACAGCTTTGAAGATTCCAGCCCAATTATTTTGTAGAATATCCCTCCATTTGGTTTTGTCTTATGTTTTCTCAAGATTAGGTTCAGGTTATGCATCTTTGGCAGGAATATCACAGAATTGATGCTGTGTTCTCATTGCATCCTATCAGGTGACACATGATTTTGATTTGTTCAATTAAAGTTCATGTTAACTTTGAGAACTTAAATGAGGTGGTATCTGCTAGGCTTCTTCACCATTGCTTTTCATTATCAATAAGTATTCATTGGAGAGCTTCTCTGAGAGTATGGAAATGCCCTGTTGCTCATCATACTTTTATTTTATTCATTGACTGATGGATTGATTATTATTTTTAGTTGAAGTATAGTCACTCATTTATTCACACCCATATCAGTATGTACCCATAATTCTGTTTCATTTAGTGGGTTACTTTTTTTCTCAAATTACCACCAGATGTGGCCAGGGAAGTCCCTTCAAGATGATTTCTGTTTCTTTGCCTGTGCTTTTTTATATTCTTTGATTTCTTCTTTACATAGTTGCACAGTAAGATATTCCAGGCTCAGGCTCATCTCGTTCTCTTCTTGCCCCAACCTTGGATGTAGTTATTTTTTCCAAGGAATGCTGTTTTGTTTCTTATCTTTTTTCATTTGCTTTTAAGTGGAAAATGACCTTTAGAAACCAAGATCTGGGTACAGAGTGTGCGCATTACTATTGGAGTGTCACTTCTGCCTCTAGTAGACAGAACTAGTCTGTGTATGGCATATGTATCATGTATATGTGTGTTTGTAAATATATCATAATACACCTATATTTATTAACTTTACTTATTACATTGCTGCAAACGTAATTTTGGTTTTGGACTATGAATTTTCTATCAAGTTGCTCAGTAGTGTCTGATTCTTTGTGACCCCATGGACTATATGGTCCATGGAATTATCCAGGCCAGAATACTGGAGTGGGTAGCCGTTCTCTTCTCCAGGGGATCTTCTCAACCAAGGGATCAAAGCCAGGTCTCCTGCATTGCAGGCAGACCCTTTACCAGCTGAGTCACGAGGGAAGCCCAAGAATACTGGAGTGGGTAGCATTTTCCTTCTCCAGTGGATCTTCCTGACCCAGGAATCAAACCAGGGACTCCTGCATTGCAGGTGGATTCTTTACCAGCTGAACGACCAGGGAAACCCTATAACTAGGCTCAAGCACATATTGATTAATCAAAATAGGAATCATTACAATCAATACATTTTTGCCAATGAGAAATAAGTTTGTTTATTCCTGTAGCATAAGAATCTGTGCTTGGGGATTGAACACACTCTTGGAAAGCATTTTCTGCCTCCTGCTCGTTGTGGAAGCATTTGCCCTGCAAAAAGTTGTTGAGATGCTTGAAGAAGTGGTAGTTGGTGTTGGCAAGAGCATGCACAAATATGGCAGATGAGGCAAAACTTTGTAGAGCAATCCGTTCAACTTTTGAAGCGTTGATTGTGCGATGCGCAGTCAGGCCTTGTTGTGGAGAAGAATGGGGCCCTTTCTGCTGACCGCTCCCTTTTGCAGGCATCACATCAGTTTGTTGAGCAGAGTTCTCAGATGTAATGGTTTCACCAGGACTCAGAAAGCTGTAGTGGCTCAAACAGGCAGCAGACCATCAAACGGTGGTGACCACTACCTTTTTTTAGTGCATGTTTGGCTTTGGGAAGTGCTTTGTAGTTTCTTCTCCATCCAGCCATTGAGCTGGTCATCACCAGTTGTATAAGATCCATTTTTTTGTCGCATGTCACAATCCGATGGAGAAATCGTTCATTGTTGTGTAGAATAAGACGACACTTCAAAAGGATGATTTTTTGATGTTTGGTCAGCTTGTGAGGCACCCACTTATCAAGCTTTTTCACTTTTCCAGTTTGCTTCAAATGCCGAACGACTGTAGAATGGCTGATGTTGAGTTGTTCAGCAACTTCTCCTGAGGTTGTAAGAGGATTGATTTCGATGATGCTCTCAGCTGGTTGTTGTAAGCTTCTGATGTCCGGCCACTGCGCTCCTCATCTTCAAGGCTTGTCTCCTTTGTGAAACTTCTTGAACCACCAGTACACTGCATAATCATGAGCAGTTCCTGGGCCAAATGTGTTGTTCATGTTGCAAGTTGTTTCCACTGCTTTACAACCCATTTTGAACTCAAATAAGAAAATTGCTGGAATTTGCTTTTTATCTAGCATCATTTCCATAGTCTCATATAAATGTAAAATAAATAGCAAGTAATAAATCATTGGCAAAAAAAAATAGAGAAATGTGCGTTAAAATGATATATAACAATCACATTTATTTAGAATGTAATCCAATATCAAATAGCAAATTTTAGCACTGCAAAAGTGCAGGTGCTTTTGCACTACCCTAATATATGCATTGGACATCATGACTTCACCCAAGTATTTCAGAGTCTAGTCTACTGCCATAGGCTCCACTGTGGTTTTCTCCCTTCCCCTCTTTGTTCTCCCATGAATCCTGGCTTCCACCATCCTCGTCCCAGGTATTAGTATACTCGGCCAGTTTCACTCTGGGCAGCGAGTTTTCCACTGGCACTCTTTCCTCCTTCCCTTCACTCCACTCATCTGCTTGGCTCTGTTATGGACGGAAGGTTTGGTTCCCTCAGAATTCATATGCTGAAGCCCTAAATCCCAATGCCAGGGTATTAGGAGATGGGGCCTGTGGGAGGTAATTAGTTTTCAATGAGGTCTTGAGGGTGGAGCCGCTATGAGGGGATTCGTATCCTTAGAGGAAGACACCCCAGCGCTTCCTATCCCTGCCAGATGAGGAGACAGAAGGCCAAGACAGCGGATTCTGTCAGTTCTCGATCTTGAACTTCCCAGACTCTGGAACTGTAAGAAGTAAACGCTGTTGAAGCCGTCCATTCTGTGGTGTGTTGTTATGGCGACCTGAGCAGACTAAGACGGGCTCAGAATCTCCGCAGTGAGACGGGCACCCTTGCCGGGCGGCCCTCCTGGCCGCTGCTCTCCTCCTCCTGCTGGGTTTCTCACATCTGCCCCAGGCGGCCGAGCTGCTCCCACCCTTGTGAAGATGCCCACCTTTCTCTGCCCTCTGTAACTGAATTTTTCAGGAAAGGGAGGGGGGACCAGAGACCTGGGAACCTGGTGGTTTCCTCTGAGACACTTCCACGTGCAAACTGCACGGTCCAGCTTGAAAGTCACTGAGGTAACCAACTGGACAAATTGTGTCTACAGAGCCGTGGTTGGCAAACATGGCCCATGAGCCAGATCTAATCAATGGCCTGTTTTGGAACAGCCTATGAGCTAAGAATGGACTTTATATTTTTTAAAGGGTTGTTTAGGAAAAAAAAAGTAGACTGTGCCTCAGAGACCATATATGATCTATAAAACCTGAATATTCACCATCTGGCCTTTAATATAGAAAGTTTTCTGACATCTGCTTTAGAGGATTATTATTTCTTAAACATTATTTCTGAAGACTAGACTTTTGACTACGTTTGAGATTGTCTTCCCTGGAAAAGACTCAGTTTTTTGTTTTTTGGGTTTTTTTTTAATAATTTCTTTTCAAATTTCTTTTTAAAATTCTTGACCTCACCAAGCAGTGTGCAGGATCTGACTAGGGAATGGACCCTCGCCCTTGGCAGCAAAAGCTCAGAGTCCTAACCACTGGACTGCCAGGGAATTCCCAAGACTCCAGTTCTTGATTCTGTATTGCCAACTAAACACAGGTCCACATGCTTTGAAAAGGAACTAGCCATAAAACAATCTTACGTTTTTCCAAGGCAAAATGGGAAGCCTGGCCAAGATTCACACCTGGACCAGGGTGTGACCTCTCTACTTGGATGACGTTCAGGCGGGTGGCTTCTGCACTTCAGTGACACTGGAGCCAATGGCCTGCTGCTGAGCACGTAAGGGGATCCACGAGCTCTGCTCCTCTGGTGCGATGCTAAGCGTATTCCAGCTTCACAGGGGGATCATTTCTGTATGTCTTCAGCTCCTTCTGTACTTTTGGTTCCTGGTAGACAGCAGCTGTGTTTTACTCTGTTGACTATACCAAGTGATCTGTGTTTGTAGTGGGTTGGATCCTTCTTTGCCTGGTATTCATACATCACTAGATTGTTCTCTTCGTTCTTTTTTTTTATTCTTAAAATTGACAAGAGTTTTTTCTCCCCTGTGCCTTTTGTTTTATGAAATCCTGGCCTCCTTATCAAAAATCCCGTACGTCAAATACCAATGCTTTACCCTAATTTTGTGTAAACAACATAATACATCATTGAAATGCTGGTCTCAGAAACAATATGTCACTGACTCATCCGTCCATTATTCACATAACATTTATTTAGTTAGGCCTGGGATAGTCCCTGCCTCTCTCCACTGCTTCCATAGTCCCCTGGGTTTATCATGAATAAGTGCGACGTCATTTTAATGCTCCCTTGATCATTTCTGTTTTTCTTGCCTGTGCCCTCCTTGGGGTTGGGGCAGCATACAGAGAAAATGCCGTTAGTCCTTGTCCTATTCCCAGCGCCTAGCACATTGTAGAAAAAATGGGGTGGAAAAAAGGGGTGTTGAGTGAGTGAGTAAATGTCCAAACCACACTAGGGTCAAGGGAAGGAAAGGTGAATAAGCCACTGTCTTAGGCAGCCTTGTTGAATTTTCTGGCCAGAAGTACTTTGATGAACTAGGGAGTGATGTCTTACCGACCAGCGTTCCATTGTGCACGTTCACAGAAGCTGAAGTCGGAGAGGCTGGTGAGACAGGACAGGGGGTGGAAGGAAAGGAAGTGGCCTGCTGTGCAGCAGAATGGCTAGGGGCGGCCAGGGGGCGGTGTCCACGCTTCAGTACCCGAGGAAGCCCAGGGCTGGAGGAGAGACTGGCATTCAGGATCATTAGCAAGGGAAAAAAGTGCATGCTTTAAATGCATGGTTAACATTAAAAAAAAAAAAAGAAGAAGAAGCGAAAAGAATGAAAAATATGTCTGTGAACTTTAATGTCACATTGACAGAAGTAAGCACTCTGACCTCATTTAATAGATCCGTTTCTTTTATGACAGGTTCACTGCTGTTTTTTTTCCTGGGACAGTGACTAGACTCAGGGCCCTGATTGAAGAACAGAGGGCCCCTTGGCCATTTTCGTTTCTTTCATCATCTGGTTTTCATCCTTGTGAAATCATCTCTCGCCTGCTATTTCTGATTCCCAGGGATTCCGCGGAAGGAGGTCTGCCCATGGATGTTTCGGTAACGCCGTCCTCGCTCCGGATGCAGGGCCCCGGCGGCTGCACGGAGCTCCGGCTGCCGGCAGGGGTCAGGCTCGCGCCGTCCTCCTGCCGCGGGCTGCGGCACGTGCCCGGGGACGGGCTGCACCTGCGGCTGCAGGCGCGGGCCGAGTGCCGCCCGGGTGAGTAGCGCTGGCCTTTCGTTCTCTGCATCTGCTTTTTCATTATAAATCAAAGGTGATTTTTTTTGTGTTTTTTGAAAAGTTGAACTTTTCCCAAGTGAAGGGATCACGCTCATCAGCTGCATGGAAAAAGCTGAGGGTCCAAAAGATGTTTTTTTTGCCAACTCTGCTCATTATTAACTGCATGCAGTTGAACAGGTCATTTTGTTTCTTTCAGGCTTTTTTAAGAGTTTTTTTTTTTTCTTTTTCCTAAGAGACTGCATTTTTTTCTCTTTTTTTTTATTAGTTGGAGGCTAATTACAATATTGTAGTGGGTTTTGTCATACATTGACTTGAATTAGCCATGGATTTACATGTATTCCCCATCCCGATCTCCCCTCCTACCTCCCTCTCTACCCGCTCCCTCTGGGTCTTCCCAGTGCACCAGGCCCGAGCACTTGTCTCATGCATCCAGCCTGGGCTGGTGATCTGTTTCACCCTAGATAATATACATGTTTCGATGCTGTTCTCTTGAAACATCCCATCCTCGCCTTCTCCCACAGAGTCGAAAAGTCTGTTCTGTACATTTGTGAGACTGCATTTTTTAAGAGCAATTTTAGGTTCACAGCACAATGAAGCAGAAGGTACAGAGGTTTTTCCATGTCCTCCCTGCATTGTTTCTTTAACTGTAAAATAACCTGGCTCACAGAGTTGGTGGGAAGATGAAGTCAGATGGCGAGTGTGCCAGAGGTGGTTGATTTTAAAGCCTTATAGGAAGACGTCCGTTCATCCAGCAAGTATGAGCTCGTTGATCTAGGTGCTGGGGTAGAGAAGTAGGTAAGCTTGCAGAGCTCTGCCCTCAGGGGGCTTACGTTCTAATGGTGGAGATGGATATGGAACCCACAAGTTACTTGGATACAGACTGAAGTTCCGTGGGCATGGTAAAGCAGAATAACGGGATAGGGCCTGACTAGGGGCAGATGAGAGTCAGGGAAGGTCACTCTGAGAGTGATGTTTGACCAGAGAAACGCAATGATGGGAACAATCCCATTCATGTAGGGACATTTCCAACTAGAGAGAGCAGGACCTTGGGTTGGCCAAAGAGTTCTTTCAGATTTTTCCAGATGATGTTAGGGGAAAACCCAAGTGAAGATTTTGGCCAGCCCAGTAGAAAGATTCTGAAATGAAGTTTGATACGTCATTTGACTTTGATTGTTGTTATACCTGTTAGATTTCCAGTATTCTGTTATTGGCGTATGGTTTCAGTAAGACCGTAGGAATGTTTCTGAAAATAATTTAATGACCTTATTGGTTCGTTTCCTCTTTCGCCATGTGAGTACTGTGCTTCAGAGGATTGAAAATGATGTAAAAAGGGCAAATGGAGGCTGTAACAAATGGCTGTGATGCTCATTCTCCAAGAAGGATTAAAGTTCTTAGCAGCTGCATTTGGGATTTCTCTGTTGCCTTGTGGATATGAAGCCTTTCATCTGAGCTGCTCGGAGCCCTGAGGCGGAGTCAGCAAGATTGTAACCAAGAGCTCTTTGGGAGATGTCAGGCATTCCTGGAGCCTCTGTCCTGGCTTTTGAAAGGAAAGAGAAGTAGAGGGAGTTTCGCTTCTTTTTTGCTGGAGAGTGATTTTTGGTCAAGTCCTGAATGAGTGAGAAATCAGTCTGAGTTGAGCAGGGTTGGTTATAGGAAAGAAATGTCCTGGAGCTGAGGTGGCATAGGATAAACCCAAGAATGACTGTTGGAATGACCATGGAAGGAAGGATGGGCCTTTGAGATGGGACGGAGACTAACAGACGCTCTGAGGGTACCTAATGATGGGCGGGGGAGGGTGATTTCAGGAAAGAGGCCTTGGGAGTCTGACTCCTGTGACATCCTCGCCTTTCTTCAGCGATGATGAACAGTAACCGCTGCAGGAATCGGGATCACGTCTGGACACTGGGGACAGGCAGGCGTAAAAGCCACAGTGGGGTGTTTCCAAATCTGCTGCTGGTTTTCTGGGGCCATGATTTTAGTTCCCATACAGAGGAGGCATGGAAGCCTTCCAGAGACAGAATTAGTTTGTTGCCTATGCATATTCTGTAACAGTTATTAGACAAGTAGCAAAACTTGAACTTTTTTTTTTTTATTTAAATAAGCAAACATTATTGTTTGGTTTTAATTGTCAGACACAATGAATTGAGTACTGTGTGTTGGTTTGCATATTGTTTGGGTCTCCAGTTTCTTTACATTTTTAACACATATTTTGCTTAACCATCTGAAAAGGAAAAACATTCAAAGTCCTGTTCTGCAGTGCATGAAGGGGTATGCAAAATGGATTCCTCAGTGCTTAATTGCTTTAGTGCTTTCCACATAATAGGTGGTGAATAAACCTTTGCTGAACGAATAAATATCAGATAGGTACAAAATATCAGATAGGTTCATACTCTTGTAAATGTAAATCGAAATCTGTGGTAGGAAGCAAACAGTTTTAGCATTCAATCTTATGTTTCAAAATTTTTGCAAAGTAAACTTTTCAACTATAAGAATGCTCTTTTAAGGACTACAGTAGACATATTGTTACACTGTTCTGAACACGTAGTTCAGACGTGACCCTTGACCTGGAACTGGCTGCAGTAAAATTTGATGTAGCATCAGCATTGGATTCATCCCCAGGCAGCAGTGCTTCCCAGGATGCCCCTGTATCAGAAGGTTCTGACTTGAACCTGAGCCTGCATCCTGATGGGTGAGCAGCAGAGGGCAGTGTGTTGTTGAAAATTTGTTTATCCGTCCTGAAAAGAAAATCTGGGGTGTCTCATTTTCTGCTCAGAGTTAAAGAATACTGTTAGCTTCACCTTAGTGCTACAGGGCAGTCTTAGAAATTAAATAGAAGAAATTTTAACTCTCAAGGCTTAAACTTTCCAACATAGATGTTTTTAAAAAGATCTTAAGATACAAAGTAACATAACAAAATTCAAATGGCTTGATTCTAATGGATATAACCTCATTTCTTCAGACTTTTTTTTTTAATCTGATTTTTTTTAATTTATTTTTTATTTATTTTTGGCTGCGCGGAGTCTTTGCTGCGGCATGCAGACTTTCTCTAGTTGCAGTAAGCTGGGTCTACTCTCTAGTTGTGGTGTGTGGGCTTCTCACTGCGGCGTTGCAGAGCACGGAATCTAGGCACACGAGCTCAGTTGCCCCGTGGCATGTAGCATCTTCCCAGACCAGGGATTGAACCCCTGTCCCCTGCATTGGCAGGGGGCTTCTTAACCATTGGACTACCAGGGACGCCCCAGACTTTTTTAATAGATATTTTTGTGGATTGGGTTTTTTGTTCTTTGGAGTTTTTTGGAAATGAAAGTTTCTTTCTTTGTGAATGAAATAACAGAAACTAAGGGAACATTCTGTCTTACATTGCTCTTTCATATACTATGGGAAATATTTGTTTTCCCACAGCTTTAATCAGAAATTGAGTTTTGCTCTTGTAAGATGGAACTGTTCTTAGGAGCTATTTCATTCCCAGAGACCTGCCCAATAAAGACCAATTTCAAGATTGATATTGTTTGTACAAACTGATATGATCCAGACCGGACATCAGCTTTGTTTAAATCGAATTAAATTTAAGAACTCTGTTTACCAGCAGTCTCAGTGATGAAAAACTGTCCCTAAGTCTAGCGGAAGATAGCTGAGGAGGGAGAAGCTGTGTGGAAGAAATAGCTCCTTCTTTCACTTCTTCAGTGTTGGTATTTCTAGAATGAGGGAGATAGCTCGGTAGTATGTTATATACACAGTTTTTAGGGCAATACCTAGCTGTGAAACATGTAGCAGAATCTGGTGTTTTTTAAAAAACATTCCCAATATTTGCTTGCTGTTGAATCATCAGTTAATACTAATTAAATGTGTACTTCTGGGTAGATCATAAACAGTGTTTATTGGTGATAATTTATTGCGGCTATTACACTCTTTAAGTATGTCAATATATTTACCCCAAACCTCTTAAGACGTGCTGTTTCCTTGATTCCTCTAGAACTGATTTCAGTGTTTAATCAAAGCTTACAAGCCCAAGAATGTTGCACGTTTTATTGCCAGTCCTGTGGTGAAGTCGTCATAAGGGACAGGTAAGGAGCACGTTTAGCACTGACTCATTCTGTGCCTAGCAGTGACTGTTCTCTTTTTCCATCAGGATTTTTGAAGGAACTGCCAAGAGGGCAGTCTGTGGCCTCCAGATGAAAGCCAGCTCAATGTCACTTTTTGAACCAGAGCAATCCCCAGACTCCAGCAATCACGGGGCAGCTAGGTCTCCTCCAGCTGACAAAGGGGGACAACAGGTTGCTGGCTTTGAGGGAGGGAGGCTTGTCTTGGGTGCAGGAGCCGCTGTAGACCAGCCCCTCTCCTCTGAAATCAGACACGACAGCTATCACACATTGTAGGCGTCATCCTGGTGAATGAACTTTTCCCCATGAAGTGCGTTTTCTAAATAACAGAAGCTTTTGCAGCACGATTTTTTTTTTTTTTTACTTGAGCTATTTCTATTAGTGCCTTTCTAAAATCTGTTTCCTATTTCCCTGATTATTGAAACAGCGTATAGAGTACAAATTAACCTTTTCTTGCTGCTTAGGTCAATCTTGTAGCCTGTTCTCACGGTGTGCACTGATTTCCCCATTGTGTTGGGGAGGGCCCTTTGCTGTACTCTTTGCACTCCCTCGATGTCTCTTTTAATTATTTTTCCATCTTCTCCTCCTCCTGTTGGCCTCCTTGTTGCCTGGGCATAAACCATTCTCCCTGAATTTTCTAGTCACTCATAGGCTAGAAAGACGGAGCAACCCTTATTACTGTTAACAGTACTATAAAGGAAGAATTCAGAGTTCTTTGTTAGTGTTTCCTTAGAAACTTAGATGGCAGTGGACGCCTACCCATACCTGAGACCCACTCCTGCGCTGGCATTTGGGGTCTTGGTGGAGGGAAGACACCAGTCCTCTCTCTCCCTCAGTCCCGGCAGGTGGCCAGTCCCTGGGTACTGATGCTGCTTCGTTCTCCATACCCCTCCACTTCCTCCACCTCTTAGTCGAGGCCACTGTCCTCTCACCAAAGAGCACTTCTTGCCTGCTCCTTATCTGCTCAGCCTGACTCTGGGTTCACCTGCCTCTGATCAGGTCTAGTCCCCTGAGTCCCCATTCAGACCCTCCCCAAGCCTCCCATTTCTTCCAGGACAGACTCCGCCAGCCCTCAGCATGCCATGCTGGGTGCTGCAGGAGCTGCATCCTGTGCACCACTGCACCGCCTGTTTCAGTCTCCTTCCCGCACCCGCTTCCTCCCTCACCCCCAAAACCACACACCGTTATTTACAGACGTGCATGCACAGCCCTGGTGATGGGCTCGCAGTCCCACAGTCTTTTCACAGGCAGTCCTTAATGAAACTTATACCTCCTCTCTGGGAACATGCCCTGTGTCCCCATCTCCCTCGGCTTAGCTTCTCTCTAGACTTAGCATATTCATCAGACTGAATATTGGAAGGACTGACGCTGAAGCTGAAACTCCAATACTTTGGCCACCTGATGGGAAGAACTGACTCTTGAAAAGACCCTGGTGCTGGGAAAGATTGAGGGCGGGAGGAGAAGGGGATGACAGAGGATGAGATGGTTGGATGGCATCACCGACTCAATGGGCATGAGTTTGAGTAAACTCCAGGGGTTGGTGATGGACAGGGAGGCCTGGCATGTTGCAGTCCATGGGGTCGCAAAGAGTTGGACACGACTGAGCGACTGAAGTGAACTGAGACTCAGCAGACTAAGCATCTCCTGCCTGGAGCCTCCCCTGAACCCTAGGTTGGTCTGTGTGCCCGTTGGAGATTTATCTGTTGTCTTCCCAATTAAACTGTAGGCTTTGGGTGCGGGGACAGTCTTACTCACATCCCTCCCCACTCCTGTCGAGAGTGCAGTGTGGTGTGGCAGAGACCCGGAAGCCAGACCGTCTGGGTTTGTGCCCACCATTTACTAGCTCTGATCCTGGGGAAGTTACTTGACCACTCTGTGCCTTCTTCTTTTTTTTTTTTTTTGTATTATTGTTACAAAAATCTAGATAAGAGTTACCTCCTTAGGGTTTTGGGGAGGATCGAGTGAGTTTAACTGGGAGGCTTTCAGGATGTGACAGCTACTGCTGTGATTCTTTCCCTCACCACTGTCTGCATCGTCACCACCCGCAGCAGCAGGCTTAGTGCGTTCTCTGGAAATTCTTACCGGTTTGAATGAAATAAATGTTAGGGTGCTTATCCTGGCCTTCCATCAGTCTCTCTCACTTGCTGTCTGATTCCTGGGTAGATAAGATCACGGCAGGTCATGCCAGTGTAAGCACAGGGTCCTGAGCAGAGCACAGCCCGAGTGGCGATCTTGGGGAAGCCAGGGGCTTGCTCTGAATCTGCAGAGGAGGGAGACGTCCTGGCTCAGATTTCCCACAGCCGAGGTAGCTGCGGAGTGTGCTGTTGGGGACACACCCGCTTGACCCTGGGAGGTCCAGAGGATTCCAGGTTACCCTGGTGTTTAACCAGGAAAGTTTTCCTCCTCTCAGCCTTTTTCTGGCTTTGGTTTAACCGTCACTCACAGTCTCTGGCACGTGTGTGCCTCTGTGACAGTGAGAGGCCTGGGAGTTGCCGAGGAGCAGGTTCCCCAGAGGGTTAGCACTTCCTGGCTGCCCGTCTTAAAGGACTAAGTTCGTTCACTGTTGGCTGATACCGCATCTTCCATCTTGTGTCAGTCCCGTTCACGACCTTGAGACCCTGAGACCGTGGCACGGAGAACTACGAGAGCTGAGAGGCCGACTCTGATGGACCGCACTCACTGTCCCTAAGCCTGACCTTGGGAAGCTGTGGGCTGAGACGCGGGTGGGGAGGACGGGACCTGGGTTTGAACTCCAGCTCTGCCCTCAGAGGCTGGGGAACCTTGTCCACATCACCTCACCTCAACTCATGTAGCTGTAACATGGCCTGTTTTCCTAACTTGTGAAGAGCTTTTAAGGCTGTAACATAAACTGCAGTGAATACTCGACAAACTCTTTTTAATTGTCTTTATAGACTCGTTCTACCCCCTTTTCCCTAATCGGCCTTATCAGCAAAGCATCAAATTACCTAGTACAGTGTTTCAAACCTTTTTGACTCAGGACTCCAAATTTTTTAGGCATGCCAGGGAAATGACCCGCTCTTTCTCCTTTTCTTTCTGAGAAGATCCACAGTGGATGTGACTCGGCCTTGCTTACTTCAGCGAGGCTTCCCTGGACGCTTTCGTGTGTCACAACTGTGGGTCTGACACACGGACCCTCTCGAGCAACATGGAGAGATCCTTAGTAGGAGACCGAAAGCTTTGCCTCCATCTCAGTCGTAGGCAGCCGGCTCTTTGATGGAAAACCACGCTTCCTCCTCTGTCTGCACAAGAACATCATGCCGACCGATTGCATTAAGCCCCGTGGTCTTCTCATTTACCCCTCAGTTATCTGTTCTATGCAGGTGGTAAGGACAGCTGTGCTTGTTAAGTAGAAAGCAAAGCCAAAGGTATTTCAAAGCAGGCTTGTAATCACAATCAACTCATTGTTGGCATCCTTTTCAGAAAGGCATCTTGGAACATGGTGGTTTATCTTGGCAGGAGCTCTCGTGTTCGGAGCAGTATAGCCGAGTTAAGGTCTGCTTGCTGGCTAATCTTTCTATCTGGGAACAAGTCACTTTGACTCTCAGTTTCCTCATCTGTAACATTGGGAGGTTCAGGTAGATAGACAGGGAAGAGTCCTGCCAGCATGAAAATTCTGTGATTAGTGAACTTCAAAAAAATTGCACCTTGACTTCTGTGAATGATGACTATTTGGCTAGTACAAACCTAATGCTTGTTCTTTTTTTTTTTAATGTAAAAGATTCTCATCAAGCAAATTATAGGTGCAGAAGTCTGTTTAACCTATTAAGAGTCATTAATGGCTTTTAATACTTATTAGCACCAGGATGCACAAAATCTGCTAATTATAGCCATCTTTTTTTTTTCTTCATTCAGAATCACACATTCCTAGCTGTTTGTTTTGGTTATTTACAAAGAATGTCTTGTTTCCTTACAGTGAAACTCTCCAATTTGCATTCTTATCAGTTCAGCAGAATTGTTTTGTAAAAATGATCTGAACATACACAATTTTTGATTACGCTCTTGTTGAGAGTGAAAGTCCCTAATACCAGGCAACAACAATAATAAAATTTGCTTCATTGTGATTAGCCTCAGAACCAGTTAAATGATCCTTGTGTTTGGAATTTGGTGTGTCTTTTAGAAATAAATGCATGTCAGACTTGAGTTATATTGGTTGGCTAAGTAGGCATTGAAACATAAGCCTGCTTTTCAGTCATTTTCGAGGTCTCCTGAGGTCTCTGGGAAGGCCCTCCCTGTTCTGTCTGCACCAGCAGAGCTGGGTATCAGCCCAGCAGCTCTGAGGGCATTGAAACTCTAGCAGGTAACAAGCAGAATAGACTTACTGCAACATAAGAGATGTCAGAATATGCACCTAGTTGATTGGTCACCTTGACAGACCAGCTATTATTGCAGTCTGGAAATAACTACTGCTATGAATAATCACGTTTCTATGAAAGAGAACAAAGAAGTGAAAAGAGAGTACAGGCACACGCTGAATTTTATTGGTTCAGTTCAGTTCAGTCGTGTCCGACTCTTTGTGACCCCATGGACTGCAGCACGCCAGGCTTCCCTGTCCATCACCAACTCCTGGAGCTTACTCAACTCATGTCTATCGAGTCGGTGTTGCCATCCAACCATCTCATCCTCTGTCCTTCTCTTCTCCTCCTGCCTTAATCTTTCCCAGCATCAGAGTCTTTTCCAGTCAGTTCTTCGCATCAAATGGCCGAAATACTGGAGTTTCAGCTTCAGCATCAGTCCTTCCAATGAATATTCAGGACTGATAATACATTAAGTATGTACATAATGATAATAAAATGCAAAGCTAGTTTCATAGTATTTGTAGGCCATCAGTTAAATAATGCCAGCTAAATTTATCTAAATTCCAGCAGCTATGTTTTGAGCTTTAGATACTTGATGGCTTCCTTAAAATTTTTATTGTCCACTTGGTTCTAATCCAGTGTGAAAGC